CAAAATAGTCACTTAAGTTTGCCTAAACATAATAAAAGATGTCTTGTTTATTTCTTTGTAGTGATTTTCTAAGACACTTAAAAAGAGTAATTTAAGGGCCCTTTTCATACTTAAATATAAGGGAAAATTGTATATAATAGCAAATTATTAATTCAAATTAAATGCTATAAATATAGTTTGATTTAATTGTACCTCATAGCAAACTGTTGCTATTTCACCTCTCTCCTGATGAATCTCGCTCGCCACTCTCGTTCTCTCCCTCGCCTCTCTCGTTTTTTATACAAACGCAAGTGTATAAAGTGTGTTTGTGTTTGTATAAAGCGAGAGAAAATTGTATATATACATATATTTTCGTTCCCCTCTCTCCCCTCTCCCCTCTCCCAGATCTCGCTCTCTCACTCGCCTCTCTCACTTTATACAAAAAATGCAAATTGTATAAAATGTGTTTGTGTTTGTATAAAGCGAGAGAAAATTGTATATATACATATATTTTCGTTCCCCTCTCTCCCCTCTCCTAGATCTCGCTCTCTCACTCGCCTCTCTCACTTTATACAAAAACACAAATGTATAAAATGCGTGAAAATTGTGTATATATATATATATATATATATATATTTTCATTTCCCTCTCTCCCCTCTCCCAGATCTCACTCGTCTCTCTCACTTTATACAATTGATCTTTTTGTATATGTATACCAAAACAGATTATACAACTGCTTTCTTTTGTATATGTATAGCGAAATATACATATTTATATTTGCTATGGAGCGCAATTATGCAAACTTTGCTATAACATACAAATATGAATTTTGTGTTTGTTATATGTGAAAGTTGCTCTAAATATAGTTGAGTGTTTTTTTGTATAAAATAATTCTATGACTTAAGTAATAAATAAACGTTGAATGACTATCTATAAAATCTACCGTAATTTCGTGCTTTAATATGTAATTTTTGACTTTTTGTGAGTGCGAGTTCTTTGCATAGTCTACGCTTTCTATTTTAGTGTCAAAATTTACTTGTATACACAATTTTTATATGAAAATGTGATATTTTAAGTTAAGTTTGGTATGGAGGATATTTTAAAACTATCTTTTTTAGAAAAATAAGTGCTCGAGAATCTGAAAATAATTTGAAGTATAAAAAAACAAATGATTAATGAATAGCATTTCAAGTTCACGGGTTCTTTGCGTCCTCTTCACCCCAATGCTCCCAACATCTACCCTTTGACCACACCCCATAAATCATAACGTTGTTTTTCTGCATTACATAAATATATATTTACAATGTTTTTATTTAATTATTAAATAATAAAAAAGATTATTTTTCAAAAAATACTTATTCTTTTTTCTCAAATAAATACTTTGTATTAAACACACACATAAAATCGCTTCAATATTGGTACTAAATCTTCCGAAATGCAGACCTAAAAACAACTAATTTAACCTTATTAAAGTTGCTTAAACTACAAATTTCATACAACTTATGATCATCATCCAGATCGAGTGTTGTATATTGCAAGAATTAGATAAAGAATAAGGATATGTTTTTTGAAGAAAAAAAAGAGTATTGTGTAATAATTACTTTTTAAGAAACAAAGGAGTACGCATTACCAAAGTCTAGAAGCATTTAGACCATTCTATATATATATACTCCCTCTGTTGAATTATATTTGTTCATTATTGATTGTGCACATCTTTTAAGAAACTATAAATAAAAAGATAATTTTATTATATCACCCTTTAAATCCCTGAACGGCTGAACATAATGTCTTGAAAAATGTAATATAGAAAAATGACTATAATTAATGATAAGAATAAATTAGAAATTAAGTGTAATATTATCCATTGATTTCATGGATAAGAAGAGTTAGATATTCTAAAATAGTATAGTGGACAATGATTATTAAATTGAGGATTTTTTTTATTTTTTATTTTTAAATCCCTTTCCCATCCACGTCCTTTAAGTTATAAATTCAATACAAATCTATAAGATGGACCCTGCGGTCAAATTTAATGCCAGTGCAGTCCTCTGTAATGGCCCGCATATGGCCGGTTGGTGGCATTTTTATTTAGTGTTGTCCTAAAATAAAGGCTAGCTTTTCAAAAATCAAAATAAATCGTGTTTCACCAGACATTGCTTAGGATCAATGGATCATGTTATTAATGCACAATTTACTTTACATATTGAGTCATTCACCTATCAACTTGGGAAGCAACAAATACCTTGGTTTATCTTCGATTTCAATTTGTTACAATCAAAAGCTTCAACAAGCCCTAAAATCTCTTGTATGTAATGTGTATATATTGTAGATAGTAAAATTTATATCGAGAAAATAATAATCTAGACTGGGAAATAACGCAACAATCATATAGTATTTTATTTCAAATTTGAGCATTACAATCTTTATGAATTCTCTTGTTCGTTTTTTCGAATAAATTCAAAAGTTTGTAAGCTTGATCTTGAATTTCGATAAACTTGGTCTTGACTTGTACGTGGATTCAAGAGCCTTTGATTTTGATCTTGAATCTTGATGAACTTTAACTTGATCTTGTCTTGTACTTCAATTCAATGACTTTTGAGTTTGTTCTTGAATCTAGTGGTCTTGATCTTGAGTGATTTTTTAACTCGAATATTTATTTGCTTGAATTCTTGAACTTGTAGTTTGTAGAGATATCTATGGCGTTTGATCCACGTGCTCTCTCTAGTTTTTGGTTAGAATTTTGGTGTATTTTTTTATTTATGAGGACCCTATTCATAATTGTAGAATGGAGGAGCTAGTATGAAAACAGGACTCCTTCGGACAAATAGATTTAAGTGACATGATATATTGTGCTTTAGCAAAGTGAATTCGTCATTTATAGCTCAAATCAATGGACTGATCCAATAAAATTAAAATTTAATTAGATTCATTTTTATTGAATTTAAATAATTAATTTCATTATATTAATATACAATATTTATTTGAACTAATATACTCTTAAATTTAATATAATCCAAATCACTTTATAAATTTATATCCAATAAACTTTAACGTCCCTATTAAAGCAAAACCTACACATTCTAACGTCCAATACTCTTGGTACAACTACTTCCCTAGTAGAATAATAATATAGTTCCTAGATAGTTACTTATTGGCCAATAATTTGAATGGGAAATTGAAATCCACAAAATTAATATCTCAAAAGATGGATGTGTCAATTAGAATAAATATATATATATATATATATTTGTATAATATATAGTTGTCGACGACACAGTGATGATGGGATCAGTTTTCAAACAAATGAAATTGATATGACACAGGGTTTCTTGATTTGGTGTCCTCTCTAAAGGTGACCATTCATAAAGGTAAAGGCAACATCAAAGTCTTAATTAGTCGATGAGGGCTCAACCCTTTTCACTATCTCTACATATATATATATATATATATATATGATTTATTTGAATATGACATTTTTTAAAACACCAAGACACCCTTTTCATGAAACACAATTTCAATGTCCCTTTCTCTTAATATATGTATCTCATTTATAAATATGTCGACCAGAATATCACTACTAGAAAATATGAAATTAGCTACAGAATTTATCGATAACTAATTTATTGCTAAATAGTTATCCCTTATCCATAGTTAAATGAGATTAACATAAACTTTTTGTTGTTTAGCTATAAAATTCTATCTGTCATTGATTTTTGATAGTGAACAATAGTCTATATATACACAATATATTGTCACTATAGATTTTCTATCTCTAGCCTAACATTATTCCCATTATATTGGCATGCATTCATCTAATTAACCTTTTTAATCATAAAAAGAGTAGTTTACTGTGGACGCTGACGTGGCTTCGTTAAGAAGTCGTTTTCTCACTTCATAAAGAATTAATTAAACCAATACTCTAATCACTGCATTATGTCTCTAATACTCTAGCTAGAATGTCATTAGATTCTTCCCGATATAATGGTTATTACTTTCTCCGTTTCAGTTTGTTTGATACATTTTGATTTGGCATGGAGTTAATATTATAATCTTAAATATAGGAAAATTAAAATTGAAATTAAAAATCTATTAAAATTGAAAAAAAAATCTCTTTAAATAAACTAAAACTATGTAGATCGAAAACAACTTGAAGCGGAGTGAGTGATTAATACCCTTGTCAATCAAAGGACATGAATGAGACATGTCTTATTGTAAAAACAGGGTCTAATTGCTTGTTTGGCCAAGTAGTTAAAAATTGTTTATTTTTAAAAATATTTTAAATAAAATAGCTTTTTAGAAAAATATTTTTTAAGAAAATAATAATTTATAGGGAAAAAGGTTCGAAATATATCCGAACTTTGGAAATTGTTGTAACAATTCCAAACTTTAAGCATGACCCATTACCCACCTGCACTATTTAATAATGTATTTTAAAGGTATGTATGTGCTCACGTGGACACGTTACTATTTATAATGACACAATATTTATGATGTCCAATAGTGAAGGGGGTAAAAGGTCCTTTCCAAAGTTCGGGATTGTTATAGCAATTTCGGTCAAAGTTCAGATATATTTCAGACCTTTTTCCCTAATGTATATTTAACTAATTCATTTTTAAAATATTTTTATTAACCATATTGTGCTTGTCTAAAAAAAATGTTTTTGGGCAATGTTTTAGTTTCTACATTAAGAATGACAGTCGGCAGTCGCACATACTATTCAATATTTATTTTTCCTGCTTTAAGAATACTTTATTGCTTCGATATATAGGTGTGAATTGAAATAAAAAAATATAATCCCTCCCTCATATATAAATTTAGAATTAATTTGATTAACTATCGAAGCTAATTAAATTGATTTAATATTTTAAAATAATAAATTAAATAATTCTAAATTACAATTTTTTTCGTAATAATTTGATGAAAAAATACAGCATCTTAAAATGTTGATAGTTGAACTCCCGAAAAATAAAAATAAATGACAAATGTTATAGTACAGAGGAAGTATTTATAAACTAGAGCAAGGAATGACAGTGTTGAGCAAATTCCATAATTAAAATTGGTAAACATCAATACAAGCACACCATTAATTATGAGATTGGCCTAGCTAATTAATATCGACCAAAATCTAGATATCAAATAAAGAAGAAATACAGAACTAAGTATATAGGAGATTGATTAGTGCACCCAAATATATATAATATAGTAATTATATATAAATAAATGATTGAAAATTACATAATTAAACTACGAATAATTGCAGCTTCTGGACTATCAGCATCAATGGTTGACAATAACTGAGAAAGTCGATCACTGAGATCAGCCACCTCTTTATGCAAATTCCTAATATAGTTGCATGTTTCTTGGAGCACCTTAGGTGCTGATGCCTGCAACATATCGATTCGTAAATTCATTATCGATTTCTATATAAACATGTAACTTATAAATATTATTGTCGATGTGCAAAATTTAAACTCATAGACAAAATATACCTTAATTGGTGGAACGACTTAAAAAAAAAAGGTCAAACATTGAGTATATTCTAAATTGGTTCTATGTATGTAGTATATTGTGGGACCCAAAGCAGCATTCTGGAATTACGAAAAAAATTGTGAACTTATGGAGTACTTAAAAAGCGAAAGAATTATTCATGCTATTTTAAATCAATACAACCAAATTAAAGGACTCGTGAAAATGATATTATTTTTAATAAAGAGTGTTTTACCTTCACTTTTCGACATGATTTTGAATAAGATGAGCTTTAGATCGCGTATAGAAAACAAAAAGAAAGAAAGAGAGATTCACACGGCACTAAATGTCTCAACTGCTCTGACTAAACTGACATTACATATAAAATAACATTTTAGAGTGCATTTCCAGTAACTGCTGACGGATGCATGTACAATTTCATATTCGAACCTACATACAAGCTGAATTATAATGAGAGGTCTATTACTTATACCATACTACATCTTGTAACGCATTCAACACTATATGTAAATATCCAAAAATGAAAGTGCATATAGAAGGAAGAAATAAAAACCTTGTTGGAGCGACGATTACGAATTTCAGGAAGAAGTTGCTGCAATTTGGAGACGAGTTGTATGATCTGATCATCTGAAATCCTGGAGGTGCCTCCTTCTGATGACTGCCTCGACCTTCTCCCAGACATAGTTTGAGATAAATCTTCAATTCAACTAGTTGATGATCAGTATAACTTAATTGAATAGCAAGTGAAGTGGGAAGAACAAGTAGTAGACAATTAATTAAGAGTAGTTAGAGGAGGAGCTAGGTAATAATAATGAAACTATATAGTAGTAATAAATTTTAAAGGACCACAAATTAAACAGCAACGAAATGAGAGAGAAAGAGAGAGTGTGTGATGGTAAGTATACATAATAGGAAAAACATAGAAAGTGATGTTGGATGTGAAGAAGACAATTGCAAGGAAAAAGTAGCCCAAAAAACCTTCTTGTTTTGTCACTGCACCTACTTTTCTACCTCATCCATCAACTACCATTATACAGTTATTCAATCTGGTATTCTACTTTTTCAAATTCAAATTAAAACAAGAGGTGAACCGCTTTTTCATATTCAAGGCTTGAACCTAAGATCATGTGTGTTTAACGCAAGAGCAACCTCATCATAGGAATTCAAACTTAGGCGTCGTGTAAGTTTTGATCATATCCTTATCACTACATTACAAGTCTCTATTGATTTTAAGGGTATATCTATCGGTATAAATGCAAGATTTGACCTATATTTATATTGTAATTTTCCAACAAAGCATATTCAAATGACATGCTCACACCACCGTAGCTCCGCCATGTATATAGTATATAAGAAAATATACATATTTAGAAAATCTAGAGAGATCATCTTTATTGCTTCTTAAAGAATGCATCAAGTTAGTGATAATAAATAGACACATTAATAAAGAGTGTTAAAGTCTTTATCAGCATTAGTTAAGTGTCATTCGATCCAATGTCGCTAAAGGCTTTAGGGACATATACAAAGAGTGCTAATTGCCGCTAAAAATGCGCGGCAATTGAGCTATTGCCGTTAATTAATTGCTGCTAAAAATTATTTTTATGGTAGTGTATCTCAGTCCAGCCTGATGCAACCTATTACTATTTGAACTCAAAATAAAGAGGCGCCGACGCTCTCCCTTTACAATGGACGAATATAACTCTACATCTACAATAAATATATATATAGATTTATTTTTAGATCTTGGTTTAATATCATAGATCTTGATCAGGAAAAGTTTGCATTAAATTTATTAAATTATTTTTTACGATAGAAAGATCACTTAACTTTAATCAACTATCGTGACATTCAATAAACTATTTTTAGTAATTAATCAAAAAGTCACTCTATTTGGTTTAAGTATTACATGAAGTTATAAGGAGAAAATAAAAGAGATATTTTATATGGATCCGGCTCTTCTTCATTTTCCTTCCCTCCATTTTCCCCAAGTTCTTGCTTGGATGTGAGACACATGGCATAGGTAAAAATTGATGGTTAAGATTTAATTGAATAAAAATAAGATTTTAATTATGATTTAGATAATTAATATTTCATAAGAAAAATGACAATACCACAATCATAACAATATATTATCTTGTCCATAAATGTATTATTAAAAAAAAAAAATCTAATCGTTTTCTTACTAGCATTATCTTCTGTTTTTGTCCATAAATATATTATAAAATAATGTCTCTTTTTCTAATTATTTTTTCCCTGCGAGTATTTTTTCTATTAATTATATGTAAACTAATTTCAAAGAGAAAGTTCAAATTAAAGTTGTTATCTAAGACTAACTCTTTTAAAAACAAAAAAACAAATGGAAGATAAATACTCGTAGGAAAATTAGAAAAGAGTAAAGTTTTTATAATATATTTATGGACAAGCTATTATATTGTTATGACTTATGATTATGGTATTATTATTTTTCTTATGAAATATTAATTATCTAAATCATAATTAGAATCTTATTTTAATTAATTAAATCTTAGCCATTAATTTTTATTTATGCCATGTGTCTCACATTCAAGCAAGAACTTGGGGAAAATGGAGGGAAGAAAAATGGAGAGGAGACGAATCCATTTTATATGATGCTTATGCAAAGTAATATTGAATGACTTTTTTATTTAAATAAAATATTGACTTTTTGTGATACTTAGTTAGGCAAAGTTGAGCAATTTTGTTTGTACAAAAATAGTTTAATGACTTCCTATGATACTATTATTAGGTAAAGTGAAGTGACTTTTTGTTATAAAAAATAAATTAGTGCTTTGATTTATTAAAATAAAAGTTTGACGACCATTCATGAAAATAATCTCCTAAAATATCTTACATGTACGAATAGATATATATAGAGAGAGATTTGACATAAAACTTTTAGGGAAACAATTATAAATGAATTATAAAAAACAAATTGATACGAAATAATATGTGTATGAGAAAAACTATTAAAACTTTATCAAATAAATATTATATTATGAACCCACCATATTAATTGTATAAATCTTAAATATGTTTCGTATGCATATAGAAGGAGGACCGGGACCGGGGGCCAGGCAAAGACGTTTTGTTTGAGGCCTAAACCTGATTTAAAATTGGTGTTTTGTATGTGTTTTCAACGTTTGATTTGATTTCAAGTGGGCTGAATTGTGTTTGTTATTGTACTAACAACATGTCCCTTCTTCTGCATATATATGTCTCCATGTACAATACCATGTGATTGCTTTTCTATCATCGTCCCCTTATACAACTTTAAATAAAGTTGGATTCAAAATTTAATCAATTTTAAAATTCTTAGTATTGTATCTATAGTATGTTTAAATTTATGAATTGATTATAGTCAGTTTGATAATGATTGAGTCATCTTACTTCTTCGAGACCAAATAAAAAATTCCTTAAAAATGATACAAAATGAATTTTGTTCTACGATGAGAAGCAATTAAGCGTGTTATATCTGTCAATTGTCATTTAGTTGATAAATCCGTCAGAATTGAGGTTCCACAACCAATAGTTTCTAACATTGTATTTGAAGCAAATCAAACAACAAGCACCAACTTAACTTGAAGAGTGGTGATTTAATATGTCTATCGATGACTCATTTCTTGGTACATCACATTTATTCATTTATGACGATATTAATATTCTTGAAATTTTAGACTAATCATTGTAATTTTAATATATATTTTGCGGGCATCAAAAGTACACAAAATTCAATCCGCTCCTGTGAGACATTCTCATATATAGTAACCTATGTACACTGCAAATATTAATTTTCTTACGGTGTTAGTATAAGTAATAATTTATAGGTAGTTTGAGAGAGCAAAAATTAATTTATATTATAGTCTATAGGTGTATTGATGTCACGACAGTTACTAATAATGCATGAGTGATGAGTGTGGTACCAGAAAACAGAGACGTGTCAATTGTCATTAATTAATGCTAATTACAGCTAAACCAAACCAATTTTATCTTTGCTCAAAAATTAATATCTAAGCATTCGCGTACGAGTATGATTAATTTAGATTCATGTCATATATTGAAAGAATGCTTTCTATAAAAAGAAAATTTATATTCAAAACTCAAACAATTTTATCCGCTACATCAAATTCATTGATAGTACGTACATTTGACGAGTTTTATATTTTCCTTTGACACATATATATATATACACACATTATTTTCACATAAAACTTGCTTATTGACTATGTTTACATCTAATTCATGGATATTTTCCTATACGTACTTATTACTTGATCGTAATTAAGTGACATGCATTCTAACTTAATTCTTTAACCACTACATACCGCTAAATTGCATGACTTGATATATATAAACAGCAACGGCATGTTAATATTTGAGTAAAATAAAAAAAATACATATTTTGAACTAGTTTTTTTAAAAAAAGTTTAAAAGATACTTTAAAAAAAATTCTCAAGTATGTACTCCATTTGTCCAACAATACTTGTTCACTAGACTTTACATACTTCTTAAGAAACTATAAATAGAAGAGTAATTTTATTGTATCATCCTTTGAATATAATAAATACAATGTCTTGAAAAATGTAATAAGAAAATAATTATAATTAATTATAAGAGTAAATTAGGAACTAAGTATAAAATGTACATTGATTTCATAAAGTAAATAAGTATTGTTGAACATCTCAAAATAATATAATGGACAACTATTGTTGGACGAATGAAGTAATATTTACCGTAGTAAATAATTAATCAAGTGTACTTATGGAGTACGCGGCATTGACTTATGGTCCTTTATTCGCCCCTATTTGAGATTTAATTAGTTGTTAGTGACAATTCATGTCTAATTAATGTGCTAAAAGGGACAAGGCATCTTACTTGATTAAGGAGGATCTTTCACAAAATATTTTTGTAATTAAGTTGGAAGATTAGGGATTGAGTGTGACTGGTGGCCAACAAAAATTTACAAATCAAAGCTAAATTATATAATAATTAATCATAAATAAATAATACTAGCTACTTGTTTTGAGTAAATAATTTTCTCGAATGTACATTTACTGTTATCTCCTGTATTCAAGTTATTAAAACAGAAATAAGAAAGATGAAATAGACAGAAAATAAATAATTCGAGTCCACAGAATTCACTGTGTATCCTTAGAGAATTTAATCCTCTCAAGTACCCGAGGTTGTAGATTAATTCCTCCCAAGATAAAATGGATTAACTATTAAAGAAGTAGCGGTATCTCAAACTTCAATAATTTGCGAACTAAAAAAAACAACAACGAGAGCACAAACAGACTCAGTCGATCGACAATTTGATTTGTAATAAAATGTAGGCAGAAGAGAGAAATTTTCAGTGTTTGAAAAATGAGAGAAATTTCTCTATTTATAGTCAACTGCAGCAAGGAACGCATCTATTCAGACAAGAGTGTGAACACATTTGTTCAGACATGTCTTTCCAGAACGTTTGTGCCTTTTGGGAAAAGAAGTGTATGTTCGCAAGGAACATCCCTTCTGAGCAACTTTACTGTTACGCGAAATTTCAAACAATTATGTTGCGCGAAATTAATTCTGTTAATTAATTAATTAACATTCTGATTTAATGAGATTGATTACATAAATTTTGTCTAAAAAATTATCAATCAATTGCTAAAGTACTCGAGGCTGAGCAAGCGACGACG